ACCAAAGCCTCTACTGACATACTCTCGCCGTCCTAAAGTACATACACCTGTCTCTGCTCTCGCCGTCCTAAAGTACATACACCTGTCTCTGCTCTCGCCGTCCTAAAGTACATACACCTGTCTCTGCTCCTGCTGACTCTTCTTCTCCAGCTGCAGGTCCATCTCATGTCGAGCCTCATATCTCTTCTGACTTAGATGTTCCTATTGCTCTTCGTAAAGGTAAACGGTCTTGCCCAAAATATCCTATCTCTCTTTTTGTCTCTTATGACCGTCTCACCTCATCATTTCGTCAGTTTGCTTTGTCATTGTCCACTATATCTTTACCCAGGTCACATGAGGAAGCTTTGTTAGTACCCGCCTGGAAACAGGCTATGGATGAGGAGATGAATGCACTGCTTTCTAGAGGGACTTGGGATTTGGTCTCTCTACCTGCTGGAGCGACTGTGGTTGGCTGCAGATGGGTGTATACCTTGAAATATCGTCCTGATGGGTCTGTTGATAGATATAAAGCTCGCCTGGTTGCTAAAGGATATACCCAGACATATGGTATTGACTATTTTGAAACCTTTTCTCCCGTTGCTCGTCTCAACTCCATCAGAATTCTTTTCTCTCTGGCTGTTAATATGGATTGGGCGATGCACCAACTAGATGTGAAGAATGCTTTCCTTTATGGTGATTTGGACGAGGAGGTTTATATGGAGCAACCTCCTGGGTATGTTGCTCAGGGGAAGAAAATTATCTGTAGGTTGAGAAAGGTCATCTATGGGTTAAAGCAGAGTCCTCGAGCTTGGTTTGATAAGTTCAGCAAGGTTATTTCTAATGTTGGTTTTCAACGTTGTCAGTCTGATCACTCTGTCTTTCTTCGACGCACAACAACTGGTTTGGTTATTTTAGCCGTATATGTTGATATTCTGCTGACTGGGAGTGACTCTGTTGCCTTAGCTGAGACTAAGGAGTATCTAAACCGTCATTTTGTCACTAAGGACATGGGAAAGCCAAAGTATTTTCTTGGGATTGAAGTTGCATATAAAAAACATGGTCTGTTGTTGTCTCAAAGGAAGTATGTGCTAGATTTACTAGAAGAAGCAGGTCTCTTGGAATGCAAACCTGCAAGCACTCCAATGGAGGCAAATGTTGATTTGTGGCGTGATGATACCTCTCTACTAGATGATGCTGCACGATATAGGAGACTAATTGGGAAGCTAATATATTTGACAGTTACCAGACCTGATATTACTTTTGCAGTAGGTGTACTGAGCAGGTTTATGCACAAACCTAGAGAGGTTCATTGGACAGCAGCTCTGAAGATTTTGGCATATGTCAAAAGTTGTCCTGGCAAGGGATTGTTATATAAGAAGCATGGGCATACTCACATTTCGGCTTTCTCTGATGCTGGCTACGCAGGAGATATGGGAGACCGAAAGTCAACCTCAGGATTTTGTACTTTTGTTGGAGGTAATCTTGTGACTTGGAGAAGTAAGAAACAAGATGTAGTATCACGATCTAGTGCAGAGGCCGAATATAGAGCAATGGCTCACACTGCTTGTGAGATGGTGTGGCTAAGAAAGTTTATGACAGAGCTTGGTTTTGTTCAGTCTGGACCCATGCCAATGCATTGTGACAACCAGTCTGCCATTTATATTGCACAGAATCCTGTGTTTCATGAGAGGACAAAACATATTGAAGTTGACTGCAATTTTGTCAGAGATGCTTGGGAGAAGAAGATAGTATCTCTCACATTCACTCCGTCCTCACAACAACTTGCTGATATTCTTACCAAGGCTACTTCTTCAAAGGTGTTTTCTACTATATGTGACAAGCTGGGCATGGTGAATATTTATGCTCCAGCTTGAGGGGGAGTGTTAGATTAAGTCTATTGGGTATTGGGATAATGGGCTGTGACCCGTTAACCATACCCCTATTTGTATGACTATATATATATCTCTCTAGTATCTGAATAAATCAATGAAGTTAGGGTTTTTGCTCTCTCAATTATCTCTTTCTACATTACTAATCAAGAAGATCCCTTTCTTTATCAACAATCAATTTGCATAGGAACAAACTGTTGAAGGAATCACGACCCTTCACCTAATATCCTAAAATACATCATCTTCCAACTAAAAACAGATATTTCTCATCATTCTTTCAACCTTTACACCTCAAGTATTAGAGGCTTGAATTGGAGGTTTGTTGGGTCTCGCACATCATAATAAATATCAAGCAAGGAAAGTATTTTCTCTGAGTGTTCCCTACCCATCCTGAAACCTGGTCAAATTGAGGACCCTACCTTATAATTGGCCATCATCATATCATTTGTGGGTACCTGCAGGCCTGTGCGCGCACATCATCCAACTCATCTGTTACCGTGGTGAGTTTTTTTGGTTCAATGCAATTTAATGGTAATTGCAATTTCATGTAAGCAAGACATCATGGATTGCTCATAGCTGTTTGTTTCACTGCATTTAAAAATGTAGCTGTACATAATTGCAGGGGCAAGAAAATTTTCGATCAGTTTCACACCTGACAGTTACAGTCTTTTTAATTAATTGCAAATATGTTTATGATGCAACTTCAATTGCAACCAACCCCAATAAAAAAAATCAAATAAACTAGAAATCCCAAGGCAAACACCTGCCACGACTGTATGTATGCTATTAATTCTTCAAATATACATTGTTTTCTCCATAAGAATTTGTAGATAATTAGTAACTTCACTGGGATTCTTGCCAAAATTTAATGCAACACAATATCTCAGACAAGGAAGGACTATTACATAATCTAAACGAGCAAGAAATGCTCTTGCCAAAGTTCGGTAGTATGAGACAGTTTTCCATAGTTTACACGAAAAGATAATAGAAACTACAAGAAAATTAGGCTACCTCTTCTAGGAGCTTGTATCTTCTGACTTTACCTCTGAACACTTGCTTCTCTCCCCTCAAACTTGTTGTGATCTCCTCTTTTCCCATTGATTGATCATTCTTAGTCTGCGATATTTTGATTTCTTGCATTTTCTGTTTCTTTACTGCCTCGTCGAGATACTGTGGAAATACTCCTCTCTTTAACTTCACTCTGGAGGTATCGCTGCTACTGCCTTCATTGTTGTAATTAGAAGGAGAAGGTATAGCGTAGTTGTGGTTGGTGTCGTTCAAATTACCACCCTTTGTTTCTTGTCTCAAGCACCAGTTGCATGCTCGATAAGACTGGAATTTTGGGTACAGATTACTACAGTACCTGTAATTTGCAGATAAAAGTATGCAACACGCATGCGCATTCTCGTATGTGTTAGAATTGAAATAAAAACATACACGATTAGAGACGACACAGGTAAAAATCATAAAAAATAATGTAAAATTAAAAAGATTACGTCTTACTTGTGTTGTGATCGAATGAGGCAGGATTTGCATCGGAAGAGCTCCGTCAGGAGGCCATGATCCCCACACATGCAACAAATCCTAGCCAATGCTCCATCGTTGCGTCCCATGATCTCGAATATCCTGGGGAGAGAGAGATAAATTAGTTTAGTGCCTATATATACTTTTATTTGCTTTGTTTTAGTTCAGGTAGAGTTGAAGGGAGGATAAAGAACTGAGTTTTAGAGGAAGGAGGGGATGAAACAGAGATGTAAGTAATGTAGAGAAAGGGACCACATATGTCTACGTACATTTTCTTGGGTCTTTGTGGGGTATATATGTAAGTAATGTAGAGAAAGGGACCACATATGTCTACGTACATTTTCTTGGGTCTTTGTGGGGTATATATATATGGGTCCGCTTAGGACGAAAATTTAGAAAAATAGACACAGGGACAATTGTTAGCCAGTAATTAATTAACTTAATTCAGGAGTGGCGTAACCATGAATTATTGGAGCTTTGAAATTAGTGCTCTTTTTTTTCTCTCATAAAGATTAAAGTAATTTCATCAATAATCACATTGGGTAATATCAAGATTTATTTTTAAAAAAGAAACTTCAACCAAAATATTATCCATGATAAATTTTTGTTTAATAAAAAAATGAAAATAGCTCCTTAAGTATAATTAGAATTAATACAATTAGCTTTTAGAAAAAATGAATCAAGTTTGAAAATGATAATTATAAACTAACCCAAGGATTTGCTGCTTTTTGAAATCATTATTGCATCATTATTGTCAATATCAGTACAAATAGTTAGATTTTATATATGATTATAAAGCAATCATTCATCTATTAACACTTTGCAGTTACACAATTTTTTTTCCATGATATTCATAGATAAAGCTGTTATACCCCAAGATTTAGTCTCACATCAGATATTGGTTTGAGTGATTAAATGGTTTAAATGATGGGTTGAAAGTCAAGTGTAATATTGACCGGTCAATTTCAGTAGTGGATTGAGTGTGTTGCACTCGATGAGTCCTAAGGCTTGCATCACCCCAGTGGTGGGCTCGCGGACCTGGGGCGTGACAGTAACTACTCTCTCAACGCTTGCAATATTTGAAAGCTTAGTAGCTTACTCTCTTGACGATAGGATTTTACTTACATATATGTGAATATGTAGAATTATGCCTGCAACTTTAAATCCCAAAAAATTAAAAAAAATAATGTTAAAATAGAGTAGACTACAAGATAGCCTACCTGCCTGCATGATTCAAATAGAATAAATGAATAAGACTTAAAGGTGTCAATGAGCTCCATTCTAAAATTAACAAGAACGTACTATTAATTTACATCAAAGTTTTGCCCCTTTTAGTTGACTCATGGAATTTGAGGAGCACATAAACAGGGACTGGTAATAAAAAAGAGCCTGAAGAAAAGATAGACGCAGGGAAGTTTAGAAGACAGTAATTTTTCTGAAGGGCGGAGAATCACAATCAAAACACACACACACACTATGTATAATTTTGTGAAAGATCGAAGAGAGCTAGTGGAGACACTAAAATGTCGGAGAAACTAAGATGCGAGTATAACTTTCCTTAATTTTAACATGATTTTCAAACGTTGAAGTTTTCATGTTTTACCGAAAATCAAGCTTCTTACCTAATATAACGCAGAAGTTGCACTTGTGTGGCCTTAGCCTCTCATACATCTCATATTAAATATTGCTGTACTGTAATACATTAAAAAGAGTTGCAACGTGGGATACCGGGTTCACTTAAAGTTGATTCATTTCTTTATAGATAAACTTGAACTCGGTTTTCTTCGAATTAAAATTTAAAAAATGATTTAAAATATCCGTAGACAAATTTATCCATTTTCTATCCACTACTTTAACTGATTATTGAACAAATTAACGATATAGAATTACCATACATTAAAAAAAATTAAGGAATATACTCTACAAAAGCTTTCAAGGAAAGCGTTAACTCCAAAAGAGAAACATGAGCGTATATATGTGTGGGTACACACACATATAAGTGTGTGTATGTATATTATAAGGTTCTTTTATATATAAATGTATGAGTTCGGAAAAAGCTTTTCATGATCAATATTACCCTTTAGTATTTTGAATACTTTATTTAAATCTTAATTGGTCCTAATTCTAATTACATCTTATACTAATGTCACGTGAATTATCTATAGCTAAATAATTTTTTTTTAAAAAGATTAATATAACACATGGAATCTAGAAATTAACAATAGCCCCTAGCAGAATTTAAAATTTGTAATTAACGCCCTCAATATTTTAAAAATTGCAGAAACAACCCCACTAGGTCAAATCACAAAAAGCATGCTGAAATTCTAAAATTTCAAAACTTACAAACAATATAGATGAATTCAAGGGGTTACCATCAAGCACTTGAAAATTTAAAATTTGCAAACAATAACATCAAAGTTATAAAAATTGTAAAAACTCCCTCAAAAGTTAAAAATCACAAAAAATCCTAAATTTTCAAAACTTATAAGCAGTACATCAAATCTGGAAAGTATTAGCAAACCACTAAAAATTTAAATTTTGCACAAAAAAAGTAAAACTTTTAAAAATTGTAAAAAACGCCCTCAAAATTTTAGAGTTGCAAGAAATATCCTAAATTTTAAAAACTTACCACCAATACAAAAAACATGGAGATTACAGCCATCTAACTTAAAATTTAAAATTTTTAAAAGATATTATCAAAGTTTTCAAAATTGCGAAACACACCCTCAAAACTTCAAAATCACAAAAAGACTAAAATTTCTAAAGTTGGCAAAGAAAAGAGTAATTGTTTAATATTCTAGATTTTCATTAAGATATATAAATTTAACTTCTGATTTATCCATTTTCTGCATCAAAAAGTAGTCTAAGTTAACGCTGGTAAAAAATAGCTATAATAATAGATTAAAAACATTCAATTAAAAAATAAAAATCTAAAAATATATATGATAGATTAAAAATTAACGTCATTGTATAAATTAAAAGAACTGCATATAATTTTACTAATGACATTAATTGATAGGGGCTAATTTACATAAAACTGATAAAAGACTATAATATAATAGTTTCACATTAACTGATTATAATGTATAAATATTAATCCTGATGTTAATAATATTTATAGGGTAAAAAAACAAAAAGTTATGTATAAAGAAACTATTAGAAAATTCAGACATATCCTTCAAAAAAAATCAAGCTGTTTTCATTTCAAATGGAGAAGTGAAGAAAATAAACTCAAAATTCAGAAACGTTCATGAATCATTTGAATTGACATTGACAAAAGGTAATTCTATCAAAGAAACACCAACCGAGTTCTCCTTAAAGAATATATTGAACTACTTTGTCCTAATCAAAAAAGTATTCTCCATGAAAGATGCAAGAAAAATTAGCAAGTATTTGTTAAAACAAGTGCACAATAAAGTGAAAATAATTACAAAAAACAAGCACAAGAATAAAGAACAAACAATCACCAACGCAAAGATTTTCATAGTTCACCTAATTTGGGCTACATGCATGGCAAAGACTTCGGAAAAATTTCACTATCTAAAGAGAAAGAAGCGCAAGAATGTAGGTGTAAAATTGATTTCCCGAAATAAGGATCTTATTTGTATTGATAAGAATAGTTTTATTACAAACTAATGAATCAAAGTTACAACAGAAGCGGAGGGAATGCCCTCCTTATTTAACGTGAGGTCTTTGATAGCGATAGGATGCCTCCCTCAGTGTCGAAACTAAGTTTGCTTCCAATGGAGTTACAGGCGAGCTTTAGTACATAGTAGAAGCTCGTGCCGACCGAGTTCGAGTTCCCGAGCTTAATGGTTGTCAAGGCCGAAAGCTAGAAGAAGCTACTACAGTGCAAGGACAATGCAAAGAGCGGTCGTCGACCAACTAAGAAGTGAGCTAATCAGCCGAAGAGCGAGCCTCAGCGAACATGTGAGGAAGCGACCTTTTTCACGTAGTCAGGAGTGGTTCTTAAATAGGGAAGAGACAACATGGTCACTCCATTGAATCATGAGATGTGACCATACACTGTTGAGAGATGTTATACCTCTCACTTGATCTCCTCTTTTCCCATTGAATATTGATCATTCTTAGTCTGCGATATTTTGATTTCTTGCATTTTCTGTTTCTTTACTGCCTCGTCGAGATACTGTGGAAATACTCCTCTCTTTAACTTCACTCTGGAGGTATCGCTGCTACTGCCTTCATTGTTGTAATTAGAAGGAGAAGGTATAGCGTAGTTGTCGTTGGTGTCGTTCAAATTACCACCCTTTGTTTCTTGTCTCAAGCACCAGTTGCATGCTCGATAAGACTGGAATTTTGGGTACAGATTACTACAGTACCTGTAATTTGCAGATATAAGTATGCAACACGCATGCGCATTCTCATATGTGTTAGAATTGAAATAAAAACATATACAATTAGAGACGACATAGGTAAAAATCATAAAAAATAATGTAAAATTAAAAAGATTACGTCTTACTTGTGTTGTGATCGAATGAGGCAGGATTTGCATCTGAAGAGCTCCGTCAGGAGGCCATGATCCCCACACATGCAACAAATCCTAGCCAATGCTCCATCGTTGCGTCCCATGATCTCGAATATCCTGGGGAGAGAGAGATAAATTAGTTTAGTGCCTATATATACTTTAATTTGCTTTGTTTTAGTTCAGGTAGAGTTAACTTGAAGGGAGGATAAAGAACTGAGTTTTAGAGGAAGGAGGGGATGAAACAGAGATGTAAGTAATGTAGAGAAAGGGACCACATATGTCTACGTACATTTTCTTGGGTCTTTGTGGGGTATATATGGGTCCGCTTAGGACGAAAATTTAGAAAAATAGACGTACAGGGACAATTGTTAGCCAGTGATTAATTAACCTAATTCAGGAATGGCGTAACCATGAATTATTGGAGCTTTGAAATTAGTGCTCTTTTTTTCTCTCATAAAGATTAAAGTAATTTCATTAATAATCACATTGGGTAATATCAAGATTTATTTTTAAAAAAGAAACTTCAACCAAAATATTATCCATAATGTTTGAAACTCTTCCATAGGCCAAAGGCCTATGATGTATATTTATAGATAGTCAATGTGAATAGGTTGAGTACCCAAGAGTCACCCCCACTTAATGGGGTGTTACACCATCATAATGGGGTGTGAATGGAGGGGTAATAAGGGGGAGGCCAAAGGCCTCCCTCATCTCATAATACTCCCCCTTATCCATCCATTACCTTGGGTTTAGTTTATGAACA